CGTGTGGCGCCAGCCAGGCCCCCCCCCCCCCGCCCGCCCGCCAGCGGTGATGTGACCAAGGGATGTCGCGGTTGCATGCAGCCGTAAACAACTCCCGACAGCATTACTAGCAACACGGCGCCAGACAACAGTGGTGCATATTAAGTGGCTGTTTTCTGTGTTGTCCGGAATGAGGCTAGATAAGGAGCAGCGAAGACTATTCACAGCCGGTTCTCAAGTTACGAGTTAGTCACCAGTTAATTGCAGTCCAGTATTTGTGATACTGCCAATGGCAGTAGTTGTGAAATTGTAAATTGTGTGATTGTAAGAGCGAATGTGCAATAAATTCGCTATATTCAATACGGCGTGAAGTTATTTGTCACGTGACAATGTTGTAATTTTTATGATTTTAGACAACATGAAAAGACAAATGGTTCTGGGCTGAATGGTAGCAAGCATTACCCAAATTCAGTATCCTCTTAATTTCCTCGTGAATTAAATTCTGATTTATTACTGTCATTCCCAAATATTTTAACTGTGCCACATTTTCAGAGGATCTGTTAGCTATCTTTATGACATGATTTTGACCTGCATTCTCATGGTGAGACAGCAGCATGTATATAGTTTTCTCTGCATTTGCTTTTAAACCAACCTCCTTACTAGTGTCAATTAAAGATTCTGGTTTTTCTTTATGGTATCTATATTATCACCCAGTAGACTCACCTCATCAATATAGACCAGCAGCTGATGTGTCCCAGTTAATTACAATCCCACCTGATTTTCTTGGACCTTCCTAATGGCATATTCTAAAGCAAAGTTGCAAAGTAACAGCAGCAGAGTATCTCCTTGTTTTAGACCATTTTGAATAGGAAATGTATCAGACAAATGTTTACCTATATGGACTTTACTATAGTTTTTGTTTAAACACATTTTAATCAGCCTGACTAGTTTCATGAGTACCCCAAACTCTATGAGAATACTGTACAGTACATCCCTCCTATTTAAATCATGGGTTTTTTAAGTCTATGAATAGCTGATGTAATGTCTCATTGTACTCCCATTTTTTCTCCAGTGTCTGGCGAATGCAAAAGATATGATCAGTAGTTGATGTATTATGTTGAAACCCACACTAATGAGCCAAAATAATTTAAACTATCAATGGACTTAACCTTGAGAGAAGGGTATTGAATAAAATTTTATATGAAGTTGTTAGTATTGATATCCCCCAACAATTAGTAGTCAGTTTTGTCGCCCTTTTTGTGAACTGGCACAGTAATAGACTCCTTTCACGCATTAGGCACACAAATACCAAATGAACAGAAAAAAGTGGTTGGGGAACTTTGGTTCCCAGGATTAATGTTGAAAACGGTATTAAATTAGTATTTTTACTGGAGTAAATGTACTTTGTATGTTAAAATTGAAAATTTATTGAAATATTACTATATGTACAGTACATTATTTATTGAAATTACACAAAGCGTTTAGTTTGTAGTTACGTTGGTGAGTTCAGGAGCTTGGTGATCGTATGGGCTCAAGATAGGTCTATGATAGCTAAAGTACAAAACATAGTTCATGCAGGATAAATTGTCCATATTTCATCCACTGAAACCAGAATGGTGAAGTCAATGCAAATGTCCATTACCAGCCAACGGCTGGGTAAACATTGTTCCCACAGTGAAGTCACCCGTTACTAAGTAACGGTTGGCTAAACGAGTTCCAACTCCAACGCATAACACTGAACACACATTTCTCTAGTAACAATTCACTAAGTAGATATGGTTACCATGGTAATTACAACTCCAATGCATAACACCAAACATGCATTTCTGTGATAACAATTCACTAAGCAGATACTGTTACCACAGTAATTACATTGGTTCCTGACACGAGGCAATCCCAGAAGAGCAAAATGGAACCCTACAGGGGAGTGTCTACTATCACAGCTACCTAATAGATATAACTAGAAGTTAGACAGAAACTGAATACAGGATCCAGGAGATACTGAAGAGGTACTAGAGATGGACCAAAATGGATTGCATTTATTAACATATTCACTCACATTATGTCCAGATAGATTCTGGGAAATTGTTTAAATAATGTACAGATGGATAAAGCAGTCTTTATTCTTTCATTTACATTTAACTTTTAATACAATATATGCCATAGGACTTGAGTTATCAGCAGTTACATAAGAGGTTCCACAAGTGTTGCACTGAGTGTCAGTGGCTTCATCCATTTGCACCCTACCTTGGTCTGTAGACTCCTGAGCTAGGACGAGCTCAAACTAACTCTACTTCAATTCTGCTTGAATTCTGTTTCTGGTTATATCTGTCAGTCTGTCCGAATAGTAGACACCGACTCCATGGGTTCCATTCTCCTGTATCCATGGGATTTCATTTTGCAACAATTCCAACAAATTATCACGGAAACTTGTTTACATTTCTCCTAGTTACTGTGGGAACAATCCTTCTCTAGCCACTGTAAAAGAAACATGCTATTAATACTAGTAATGTTACTTAAGTTACATGAATTTACTTTCTGCTGTAACAATTTGCTAAGCAGATACAGTTACCATGGTAATTTCTGTGAATTGTTATGCTGAAATGTCACTGCTTCATCCATTTGCACCCTCATATAATAAGATTTTCAACATTAAAAATACTGTTGTACCAATATTTATAAAACATGAAATAAACTAGGAAAATTACAGAGGAATCAATTTCCTGAATATGTTACATATGACCAAATTCTAAAATAAAGGTTACAAAAAAAAGGTTGGTTAAAATTTCTTACTTGAATCCAGCAGAGGATTAGGAAAAGGAAGATCTCCTTAGATCCTGCTCTTAGTGTGAAACCTCTAATTGAAAAAAGAAACAGTTCACTTTGGAAACATGCCTTCCATTTGTGGCAGTTGTGGATATGGAAGGACCTTCTGCAGTGTCAAATGACATATGCCTTTTGATATCTTAGAAAATAACTTACTATTAAAGAATGATTTGGAAAAAACAGCATTAAATAAGAGCAAGCAATAACAATACTAATAAAAATGTGAAAGGTAAAGCTATCCCTGTAACAGGCTGTGGAGGCCCATAGGGTTGTGAGACATCAAGTCTCCCACAATCAGCTCAGATGGCAGTAAGGTAAGCCTTACGCACCGACCGCCATTTATCCCCCAGGAAGTTTTCTGGTACTCATTTCTGGTAGAAGCTGAGTCGACTCCAGTGGCTGGATGAGGATGAGGATGTGGGAGCTGCCTACATTCAAACAAGCGTGACAACGCAAGCTTCATTGCTTAGCAACGACAAGTAAACCGGTTGCTAGGCAAAGCCTACAACAATACTGACAGTGACATGTTTTCCAATCATAGCTGCCATTACTAAAGGTAATGTCCCCGCGGCTTAACTAATGAAGCACTACACCATGAAGACATTGGGGGGGGGGGTTGTATAAATCCACGTTTTCTTGACCTCAGCACTAGTTGGAGGTGAATGGTCAGATTTACGCCCCAGCCACTTTACCCCTGGTACTCATTGGATATGGGGCTGGGTGGGCCCCAGAGCCAGTCTGGATGACATGGAGAAGAGAAAAGATGTTATTGCTAGAAGCCCGAATTTATTTCCAACAGTATATCATTTAATAGTCATTAAATGGTAGATGCTAGGCAAAATTTGTGGAATTCATTGAGTTAAACATGAGTTATGCACATTTATCTGACATGGTAAACTTACTTATTCCCTATGCTACCCAACCCAAACACTAGTCACTAGCAACATTTTTGTCAACAGTGGCTAAATACTGGGGGACACTAAACAGACTGATCTAGGGGTAATGCTGTATACTTTGAGAGGGGATCAGTTTGAACCTCAACTAAGACATAGGCTAATCTAACAGGTACCTTGTTGTTTTAAGCACTCTGCAGGAAAATGTCCAGTGTAATGCTGCAATGAGGTCACTACTCCTTCCTTGCTGTTCATCATACCATCCAGTGCTTTATAGTCCTGTACCTGCAAAAGTATCAATAAATAACCCACAAAAAATAAACTGGGGAATGTATTGAGAGAGAAATGTAAATTCATGGAAGCTCTTCACAGATTCAGCAAAGCAATCATTTCTTGTAAGCATCATTGATAAAACAGCACTTTCTGTGCCATAACCTTACTTAAAAGATTCTGCCAGATGTGATCTGGTTTTCACTTTGAAGTTCACAACAAAAAATTTTTTACAGAGCAAGGTCGTCAGACTTGCATTCCACCCCACAACCTGGAGGACCAGATCCCTCTATTTATGTCCCAGTAACAGAGTGCCCTATTTGTACCCTCAAGCTCCAGGTTCAATTTTCATACCTACAACTTGCAGGGCTACAGTGGAGGTATTCTAACCAACCTCCATGTGGAGCGGCCTCCGTAGTCTAGAGGTAACATTCCCACCTCATGACTCGTAGTACGCGGGTTCAAATACCCGGCGGAGGTCATCGAATTTTTAAGAGCGGAAAAATTCAGGGAACAAGTCCTCCGGGAGGGACTTTAGAGAATTTAGAGAATTATAGGTATCATACAATAAAAGTTTCTTAAAAATGACTAGTTTTGTTTTATTTATCTGTAATTAACACAATCATCCCATGTTTTCCATTTATAATACTCATCTAAAGAATAAAAATAGCCCACCTGCAAAAATTTTTTAATGGAATATTTGAATTTATTTAAGTCTTGCAACAAGTTTTTATACTATGTGGTAATTTATTAAATATTCTAATCCCAGTGTAAGTTACTCCCTTTTGAGCCCTGGTTGTTTTATAAGTTGGATAATGTAATTCGAATATCTGAATTTGCTACATACTTGTCCATGTTTTTAACTATGAAGACCGATATTGAAAATATATACTGTGAATAAAATTGAAGAATGTTTAATATTTTAAACAGAGGTCGACAAGTGTCCCTATTTCCTGCTTTCATTATTACCCTAATTATTCTTTTTTGAATTTTAAAGATTTGGGTAATATACATTGAATTTCCCCAGAATATTATGCCATATGACATTACAGAATGAACACAGGCATTATACATCATCAATAAGCTCTCTAGGGACAATATTGAGACTATTATAGCATAACAAGCCAAGCTCAATCTAAGAAATACAGCTATTTTTACAAAATTTACAGTATGTAGGAATTGTTAGAAAAGGTAAGTCCAGTTGCAATTTAACATAATTTTCTTTGACACAAGGGTTGCATGGTTTTCAAGTTTCAAAACCATTGCAGTAATAAGTCCATAGGTCACGTGATTAATCATAACTACTAGGTCTGTTGTGTGGAAGGATCTGATGTTCACTAAATTACCAGTGAATGTTTTATTTGATATCAAGTTCAGTATAAATTCTGATTTATTATTATTTATTTCATCCATAGCTGTAGAGAATTACAATTGGACATGTCAGATATTAACAACTTCACATCAAAAATAACATAACATTCACAGAGTGATTTAACTTAATTTAAGAATAATAAATACTCAAAAAAATAAAAGACATAAGAATAAATATTTTAAGCATATAGACAGATTTATTAACAAGCAGTCTATGTAAACAATTATTAATAATAGGAAATACTAAAAAAAAATGCATAAAAATATACAGACAGATTTATCAATAATGCTAATAGTTGACTGGGGTTTCGAAATTTATTTCTGAATGTGTAATATAAACATTTTTTTGCAAGAAAGTAAGGAGAGTTACACTAATTGTTGCAAACTCAAGCATCAGCAACCTGTCATTCTTCATTTATTATGAACGACGATACAGACAGCTATCGATGTAAACAAACTTCCATTTCTTCCTGTATAAGTACACTATTCATTTCGAACTGCACACGTGCCTATAGGGGCGCGGGCACATCAAGGAACACTGGCAACGGCAACGCAGTTTCCTCAATTTGCGCTGCTCCATCCGGTAACATGTGTTCAACTCAGACTGAAAACAATTCTCGAAAATTGCGGTTGCGTTGTGGATTCCAGTTTCTTTGATGTGACCACGCCCGTTTGTATTGATCCGTGGTTGTTCCGTGGCACGGGAAATGAAATTCGTAGAGCTCAGCAGGTGGTAGTAAATGCACACATGATCCGTGGATATGGGCACAAGCTGAACCGTGCTTTCAGGCAACGGGGAAATTGAACACGGTAACCATTGGTCCCGATCGGGCCCATCGTTAGTCGCGGTTAGTCGTGCTAAAGGGACATATGTTGCCATCACGAAAGGCATGTTGATTTGGTGAATTTTAATGGCTTTAGACGTACATCGATATAACCTGCGAGCAGATGCTGTTGTAGGTATTTGTTTTTGTAGTCGGATGTCAATCCAGATGTGTTATTACAGTGTAAAATCACTGAGAATATATGTCCCCAGGTTTACGCTCGTCTGTGTGGAAAGTGTGATCTTCTTTACTGCAATGCCGGCATTTTTTTAAAGTTGCGAAAGGCTGTAGAAGACAAATCAGTGTGGAAGGGAAATAATGAAAGGGCACATTTTTAAAGGGAGCAAACATATTTGTTCATAATATAATACCTCTACTAAAGAGCTGTATTAAATGTAATTATTTGTTACTAGTTGTAATACACGTGTGCCTCAATTTTTGTTCCTGTATATCGAGGAAATTTGCATGGGCATATTTAAGAACATTTTTACTAATTATTTTTAATTTTTACTATTAATATTTGTTATGTATTCATTAGTTTTGTTTTTTGTTACATATGTGGTTGGAAAGGTAGATGTCTAGTGTGCTTTCCCCATCTTTGCTCCCATGTGCATGACCTGCACGTGTGTATGTATGTGTATTTTCTGCTTGCTACTAGCTTCATGCTGGTTTCTTGCTTGGCATATTTGTCGACCCTGAAGGTAGAGCAACACGTTCTTGAGAAATATCAGATGCCTTTCAGCAGACAACATGATTTTATATCACAAGCTAGTACTCATGTACATTTTCCTTCGACTTGAAGTTGCAAAATAATCCAAACTTTAGATTAGTACAGCTAGAATGTCTGTGAATAAGGAACGTGGCAAAAAAAAATGCAGACGAGGTACATCAATGAAGGAATGTAATGGGATTGACTTCATAGTTAGAATCCCAACATTGCAGATGGATCTAAATTAATTTAGAAAAAATACATCAAGAAAACAATTTGTGTATATGCAGTATTGTTTGCCAATAAAAGCAGACCTCATTACAAATATTTTATCTCAGTAACTTGAAAAAGTTCTGGATAGGCTACTACCTTTATACCAAGCTTCCAAACATGATGGAGGACTTGCGATAGCTCAGTTGGTATAGTGATGGGCTATGGGCTGGGTGGCTAGGGTTTGAATTCTGGCAAGGACAAAAATTTTCTGTTCTCCAAAATGTCCAGACTGTCCAATGAGTACAGGGGGTGGTTTCTGTAGGGTTGAAGCTATACCTCCGCTCCCTCACAGATCATCATGGCATAGTGCTTAATTAATTAAGCACAGGGATGACCTTACTTTTTTTTAACTATGCTTTCCACCAAGTTATTGCTGCTGTTTCTGTTCCTCTTTGTAACATTATGTTAATGTAGATAATGACAGAATAGCAAGTGTTGGCCTTTTTATGTGTAAGGATTAATTCAGATATATATCCATAATTGTTAAGATCAGACCACATTCCTGATTTGTATCTTCAAATTGCCAAATTCATTCCCAGATTCATTTTTAAAGTGGTTAATATATTTTAATTCCACACATTAAAATATTTATGGTAACCATTTTATACGGGGGCACGCAGTAACGTAGTTGGTTGAGGCACTATGCTACAATACAGAAGGTTGCAGGATTGAATCCCGATGAGGTCATTTGATTTTTTTTCAATTTACCTAATCCTTCCAACCTCGCTATGGCCCTGGGGGTGACACAGCCTCTAACAGAAATGAGTACCAGGAATATTCTTGGAATGTTCTTGGGGGTAAAGGGCGGTCGGCACATAAGGCTGACAACCTTACTGCTATCTGTGAGCCGATTGTCTAGAAAATGTGGGAACCTCAACATCTCACAACCCTATTGGCCCCCATGGCCTGTTACAGGGATACCTTTACTTTTTTACTTTGTTTTTTACCAATTTATACACATGAAAGAAGCTTCTGGCTGTACAAGAAAATTATAGCACAAACTTTTGTAGGCCGCAGAGAGGACATTGGTATTTCATGTATTGTAATGTTGGCCACATAAGCGAGCTTTTTGCTGCGTAAACTGTAGGTCATAAGAATTCTTCACATAAAATTTGTGTATGAGCCATTTTCTTTTTGAGGTTTTCATTTTGAGCGAGCACTATAATTTGTGCATTTCTCATCCCAGATATTTTCACTTGGGTTACAGGAGGCTGGAACACATCTGTTACCATAACCTAGCTTCAAAGTAGGTTGCTAATTTCATTTTCTTGGTTAATTTTTATGTGTATTGTTGCAGGAAGCTGAAATCAAATTTCTTGTACAAGAAATTAAAAAGCTTCAGAATGGGAATGACAGTGACAGTCCCTCTGATGGTGTCTCAGCGGAATTGGCAGAGTTATTGCTTCAGAATACCAAACTGAAACATCGTCTTGCAATTTTGAAGAGAGTGAGTTTGACTTAATCCTTCTTTCACCGTAACTCTCCAATTACTGTAATTAAATGCTAGAAGCTTGTGCTTCCTTAGAATGATCATTAGTCCGCTTTTCTTATTTTATAATGAGATATTGTTTTTGTGTGAGTGCATGCGTGTGCACACACGCCCTTGCATGTGTCTTTCTCTCTCTTCACTCCTGATAACGTTCACACCAGATGACAGCTTTTCGTGAAAATTGATATTGTTGTGTGTATCCTGGTAACGCGAAAGCAAATAATGGGTTCCAGATTTGATAACTCAATTTATTGGATAATTTCACGTGTAACTACATTTCGTTATTACACTTTCAAAATTGCTGTATCTGTGACACACAAACAACTAATAAGACTCCCAGGGTGAACACATCAGCTATTGAAATGATGTCTTCCTGACAAATCCTCCAGTTTACAACAGCTGAACTGAACTGAACTGAACTTAACTTAACTGAACTTAACTTATATAGGCTTGGCATAGACCACCCCCAGAAAACGCATCAGCTGCCCAGCAGCAGATATCATTTATTGTTATCAGGTGTGTCCACCCATGCATTGCCTAGCGATGGATGCCCTATTGTTTGCATTTGTTGCTGTGATATGTTTACTAGTCTGTTACCTAGCATTGGATGCACATTGGTGGACATGTTTACCTATTCGTCTCCTAGAAATGGTCAAATCTATCATAATATGAACATTATGCCACTAAATGCCAGCTTTGAACTTTTTCATTTCTTATGATCAGTAGTACCAATATGTTGGCCAGGCAGCTGTATAAGGTGGGAGCAGTGCTAGCAGTATTGTTAAGTATTGTAATAGAACTTAAAAGAATATGTTTTGTTTGCTAATGCAGTTTTGTTTTACGAGATTCTGTTGGAAAGTTCCCTGACTGTTATTGTTGTAACTGCCTTGGTGAAAGGAAATGAGAGGGGAAGCCAAGGTCACACTTCTGAAAGCCTCTAGAATCAGTCTGCCATGTGACACTGTCCTGAACACACATTGTTCTCACATGAGTGCTTTTTCGATTTCGTGATTCTTTTTGTCTGTGATTAATGGCAAAATTGAGTAATTTGTTTGCATCGAAGCTCAGTAAATCTGCTACCAAAACCCTTGAAATGCTTTGTGACGCTTTTGGAAAACATTTTTTAAGCCGGACAGCAGTTTTTTAATGGCATTCATGTTTCAAGGCTGGTCAAGTATCAGTTGAAGATGACAAACCTTCAGGGTGGCCAGGCACCAACAGAACGACAGAAGATGTTGAAAAAATGTTGTGTTGTGATGCTTGTGTAAGCATCACAACACACAGACAAGCAACATCAACTACCGACAGACAACACACGGCAACAACATCCCGAAGCAAAAAGATTGGGCCAAGCGGGAAAGAATTCTAGGGATTTTAAGAATTCTTACTTCAAAAAACGAAACATAATTTTACACAATTAACGACGAATCAAATAAGAAAGCTACTGTGGTGTGTGAAAAACTTTTAGTGAACCGACACTCTGGGTAATTTAACTATTTGTAATTATTTTAATTAACTGGAACGTGGCTATCTTGGACAAAGTGAAGTTTTGTGTGTTGGTGATTTCTTTTTCTACTATAATAAATGCCTCTGATGATGGCTCCGTGGTGAGCCGAAACATGTAAGGCAGGTGGTGACGAGGTGGAAAACTTAAAAAAGTGTCACATTTGACGGAAGGAACTTGATTGTTAATTGACTTTCTGGTAATAGTGTTTGAAGGTTCAGTACCACTGATGCCAAAACCTGCCATTTTTCATGAACCTGAATGTCATTCAAGTTAACAATCCTCATCACTTACTCTTCTTTGATCTCTTTTTTTGTTGTTGTTATTGTTATTATTATTATCCTGCCACATCCTTGTTGGTTATCCAAATGATTGTGTGTCCGTGACTAAAAACAGGGTTCATATTGGTAATCGGATTTATTAACTCTTTGACTGGCGCGAAGGGTATTAAAATCACCCCTGCCCTGGCAGGCCCTTTAAGCCTTAAGTCGCAAAAATGCATATTTTTACTTTTTTCTAAATAACTTCAACAAAATTGGTTTTTAAAAACGAAATTTTCAGGAACTAATAAAAAGAATATTTTATGCATGAAATGTCTTTCCATACCTTTTTAGTAGTTTTTCTTTGTGTGATAAACATTGAAACATGAAAGTTTGCAGAGAGCCACATCACAGCTTGCACACATGACACTTGTTTCTTTTCTAATCTTGTGCTTAGCACACACGCAACACTTTCTCATGACACCGTTCTTCTTCTTGTTACTGGGAGGAACATGGACCATTTTGTGCATTTTCAGGCCACCCTCTAGACGATTTGCTGGGTCTTTCACTGGTGGTCTTTTCAAGGTCGCTGGCGGGGGCGTGACTGCACTCGAGTCTGAAGCAGTAGATTCGTCATCCACTTCATTCTCTGACTCTTCTCCCTCTCCACACTGTTTGTTTGGTTCTGTCATTTTTTCTACACAGTCCAATATAAAATCTTTGAATTTGTAATTTCGCTTCTTGTATTTTTCGTTTGTTGTGTTCTTTTTGAATAGAGTGAAACTATTCAACGCTGCCATTTGCAACGAGAAAAACACCAGTTTCTTTGTCCACTTTACAGTTTTGCGGGAACAAGGATAATAATGGAGCATTTGATCAGCACTGTCAACCCCTCTCATATGTTTATTGTAGTCCCCAGTTACCTCGGGTCTGCATATTTTTTCTCCTTTGTGATTCGTTTTTGCAGATTCCACGATTTTTGCTGTGTGAAGAGTGGAGATAAGTTTGACGTCTCTTTTATCTCTCTGCACCTGTATGAGAACCTGCCCCTTCCTAGAAAACACAGATTCCCCCTTTTTTTTTTCAAATTTTTTATGTCATCCTTTAGTTCTTTAGGGGCTCCTCTGTACATTCTGAAGGTTCCACACACATAGGTATTTCTCTGTAATAACGTCACACAATTCTACACTATTGTAATAGTTATCCTGGTAGAGATGATACCCTTTATCTAGAAGCTGTGGCCCCAACAGATCGACAACTAATTCCTTTATAGGTCTTGATTTTCCGCAATAAATTTCAAAATTCCAAATATATCCACTTGTCAATTCACAAACAAGATAAGCCTTTATAC